ATAGTCTGAGATTTGCAGAATTTTGAACAGGTTTCTGCAGACGCATAATGCAAATGATGGGGAAAGGGACAAATCCGAAATGAACTGACAAATCCCAATTGTATCCCCAGTTGATTTGTGTCCAGACACCCATAGTTACGTGTCACATTTATTGAATGTTAATTACTCATATGGAACTATGTGTATCTTTATTTACGTCAACCATTTACGTCATTTAAGCACTTCTTTGTGCTTCTTGTGAACATGTTTGATCTCTGGGTTAGGGGAGAAAGGAATATTTCGATTCGAATACCGGTAGGTCCCCCGAGGCCTATGTTGCATGTCCGAAGTTATTGAAATTCATCCAGTGCTCAGATTTGGTGACATGGCTGATTGCACGTCATCATGCCCAAATTTCGTGGGTTGTGCTCATGATGTCGTCTCGTTGTCACGGGAAACTTGATTCAATCCGAAATTCATGAGCGCTGAGACATTGTTTTTTGCTTGATATTTGACATAATTTCGCAATTTATTCTGACATACTTAATTGTTATTGTTTCGGCTTCTGAGCTAGAAAGGAACTCCTTAATAATGCAAGTGTACGTTTGTGAAATATAATTTGCATCGCTATTTTTGCCTGAGCAATAGAATCTGCTTCGGCGGATACTGGGTTTATTCTGTTTATTTTTTGCGTTGACGTTGTATATATATTTTAAAGCCTGTTGTAATCTCGTATCACGTTTGTTTGCCCATTGTTTAGATATGCCTCCACACGACTAAAGATTTACGATTGACTTGTTTATGAAATATTAGTTTAGGGATATCTTTTGCAAATGTATTTTCTCAAACAGACATATTGGCGAAAGCGCACGTAAAATCTCGATATTTCAAAAGCCAATACATGAGATCGAGTGCGTCAATATTGCATCCTTTCGCGGCGAGGAAATCCATGCCAGTAGCTGTCACACAACAATAGACAGTCCAAGAAGGAAGTGGAAAATAAATTCTAGTGCCTACACTTAAGAATGTAACTAATTACTTTGATCTCGCATGACATCCCAAACATGGGAGTTGAGGGTTCCCGGTTCAGACAAACTTGAACACGTGTACATTGTTTCGCTATATACATTTATACTAGCCACATAAAGAAACTGTGCACTGAGAAAATATATTCTGGATTGAAATACAACACAGCAAGAACAAAATGATGCAGACGCTGTAGCAGCTGAATGATCGGACCATAAGAAAATGTCAACGGGACCTGAACAACATCTGTTACGATGACGTCAGAAGATCAAAATGGAGTAGGGGGTAAAACGACAAAGTCACAAAGTCAAAAACGGGTATGACCACCCTGTGCGTGAATCACAGCAGTGCATCGGAGACGCATGGAGTCCACCAAATGGGCATGGACGTTATCCATTTCATCCCACACATGCTCTATTGGGGAGAGATCTGGAGAAATTGCAGGCCATGGCAGTAACATGACATTGTTATGGTGAAGGAAATCCATTGCGACCCTAGCCGTGTGAGGACGAGCGTTGTCCTGTTGAAATGTCAATCCCGGGCCATGACGTTGCAGGAAAGGAATGACCACAGGCCTCAGAATCTGATCTCTGTAGCCAACACCGGTGAGATTGCCCTGAACAACCACCAAAGGGGTTCGGTGCCGTGCTGTTATCCCACCCCAAATCATCACAGAGCCACCTCCAAAACGATTCCTCTCCACAATACAGTTGCGTGCATAACGTTCTCCCAAACGCCGGTAGACACGTTGGCGCCCGTCACTGTGGGAAATGTTGAACCTCGATTCATCTGTAAAGACAACATTTCTCCACCATACATGATTTCGACACCATCTTAGACGGTTGACTCGATGACGGTGTGTCTGGATGGGACGTATGGCAGGGCGTCGTGGTCGAATCCCGTACTGACGTAAACGATTCCTGACAGTGTTGGGATGGATACGGCCACCAGTGTTGCCACCTGTTGTTGCCTCATTCCCGCTCGGATCATTCCAATGGCTTCATGACGCTGTGCAGCTGTCAATCTTGGCATGATTTGCTTGTGATATGCTTGTGTCTGCGCCTGAGAAGTTTTGAATTTTTGAATGACCACAGATCATGCTTTCCAAAGTGACAGCGAATTTTGAGTTGCACATGCTGTGTACAGCTGCACAGGATGCACGTGCAGTAACACATTGCACGTCCATAGGCCCCCATCAATGACGTCATATCGCATGGCACGTGCATGAGCGTTTGAATGTCTCCAATAATTGCTGTGTTCAAACCTATATTTCATATATGGACGGTGTGCCCTTATATCTATATTTTCTCCGTGCACAGTTTCTTTATGTGGCAAGTTTAGTTTCAGCAACATTACATACTCACCGATCAAAGATACGCGAATACCACGCATGTTGGTTAATATATGAAGAATGACTCATATTCAAGAGACATTTTATTTGTTCGACGCACCAACGAACATACTGGTATACTGTGTGAATCGAGGCACCAACGAACAAACTGGTATATTGTGTGAATCGAGGCACCAACGAACATACTGGTATATTGTGTGAATCGACGCACCAACGAACATACTGGTATATTGTGTGAATCGAGGCACCAACGAACATACTGGTATATTGTGTGAATCGAGGCACCAACGAACATACTGGAATATTGTGTGAATCGACGCACGAACGAACATACTGGTATATTGTGTGAATCGACGCACCAACGAACATACTGGTATACTGTGTGAATCGAGGCACCAACGAACATACTGGTATACTGTGTAAATCGAGGCACCAATGAACATACTGGTATACTGTGTGAATCGATGCACCAACGAACATACTGGTATATTGTGTGAATCGAGGCACCAAAGAAATATACTGGTATATTGTGTGAATCGACGCACCAACAAATATACTGGTATATTGTGTGAATCGACGCTTATGAACACATCAGTCTCGTGCACGATTAGCGTGTAAAGTTTGGAAATCACGTGCAGCATATCTTGATAAGAATAAAGACATTATGGTAACACTTGACTGATTGTTAACGTACATACTCTCTCTTGGTCTTAGAAGATCTACGGATTATTTGAGTGAGTGAGTGAGCGATGAATGAGAGTCCTGAGACATTGGTGAGGAAATTACAGCGTTCAGTCACTTGGACAGAGGAAACTATTCTATATGTTACTCATGTTGTAAATCCCCTCCATTCGCACATGTTGCAAATCCTCTCCAAACGCGTATGTTACAAGTCCTCTCCATACGCACATGTTGTAAATCCTCTCCATACGCGTATATTGCAAATCCTCTGCATACGCACATGTTACAAATCCTCTCTATACGCACATGTTGCAAATCCTCTCCATACGCACATGTTGCAAATCCTCTCCATACGCGTATGTTGCAAATCCTCTTCATACGCATATGTTGCAAATCCTCTCCCTACGCACATGTTGCAAATCCCCTCCATACGCACATGTTGCAAATCCTCTCCATACGCGTATATTGCAAATCCTCTCCATACGTATATGTTGCAAATCCTATCCATACGCACATATTGCAAATACTCGCCAAACGCGCATGTTGCAAATCCTCTCCATACGTACATGTTGCAAATCCTCTCCATACGCATATGTTGCAAATCCTCTTCATACGCATATGTTGCAAATACTCGCCAAACGCGCATGTTGCAAATCCTCTCCATACGTATATGTTGCAAATCCTCTCCATACGCACATGTTGCAAATCCTCTCCATACGTACATGTTGCAAATCCTCTCCATACGCATATGTTGCAAATCCTCTCCATACGCATATGTTGCAAATCCTCTCCATACGCATATGTTGCAAATCCTCTCCATACCCACATGTTGCAAATCCTCTCCATACGCATATGTTGCAAATCCTCTCCATACGTACATGTTGCAAATCCTCTCCATACCCACATGTTGCAAATCCTCTCCATACGCATATGTTGCAAATCCTCTCCATACGCACATGTTCCAAATCCTCTCCATACGTACATACTGCAAATCCTCTCCATACGTACATGTTGCAAATCCTCTCCATACGCATATGTTGCAAATCCTCTTCATACGCATATGTTGCAAATCCTCTCCATACGTACATGTTGCAAATCCTCTCCATACGCACATGTTGCAAATACTCGCCAAACGCGCATGTTGCAAATCCTCTCCATACGTATATGGTGCAAATCCTCTCCATACGTACATGTTGCAAATCCTCTCCATACGCATATGTTGAAAATCCTCTCCATACGCATATGTTGCAAATACTCGCCAAACGCGCATGTTGCAAATCCTCTCCATACGTATATGTTGCAAATCCTCTCCATACGCACATGTTGCAAATCCTCTCCATACGTACATGTTGCAAATCCTCTCCATACGCATATGTTGCAAATCCTCTCCATACGCATATTTTGCAAATCCTCTCCATACGCATATGTTGCAAATCCTCTCCATACCCACATGTTGCAAATCCTCTCCATACGCATATGTTGCAAATCCTCTCCATACGTACATGTTGCAAATCCTCTCCATACCCACATGTTGCAAATCCTCTCCATACGCATATGTTGCAAATCCTCTCCATACGCACATGTTCCAAATCCTCTCCATACGTACATACTGCAAATCCTCTCCATACGTACATGTTGCAAATCCTCTCCATACGCATATGTTGCAAATCCTCTTCATACGCATATGTTGCAAATCCTCTCCATACGTACATGTTGCAAATCCTCTCCATACGCACATGTTGCAAATACTCGCCAAACGCGCATGTTGCAAATCCTCTCCATACGTATATGGTGCAAATCCTCTCCATACGTACATGTTGCAAATCCTCTCCATACGCATATGTTGAAAATCCTCTCCATACGTACATGTTGCAAATCCTCTCCATACGCATATGTTGCAAATCCTCTCCATGCGCATATGTTGCAAATCCTCTCCATAAAAAGTAAAAACTGAACGGTAAAGGATAGGACAGAACTGTGTTTATTTTTATAGATAAACGTGCTGATTACAAAGGCATTAGACTCATTAATTAACGATGTTTACTAAAATCTTCCTAAAATCTTTTCACCAACAATAGTAAATTGTCCCTGTTCTACGTTGGAGCCGACTGAACGCTTCTGGTTTGGCTGCTGCCCACCGACGTAGATATTCATCACACCTGATGAACACAACACACATTTCATCAGTGGACATTTACTTAGATATCGAAGTAAGTGTATGCTACACTGAATGATTCTGTATCTAGTGTCTACTAATGTTTGTTAATGATAATTTATTTCCATAACCTTAATTTAAAAGCGCAAAAACGTTTAATAATGATTAGCCATATTACTGTATATCCATTAAATCTAAAATATGTTCATTATTTCTCTACAATTAACAGTTATAACAGTAATATGATCTCGAACAAAATGATCAAAGAATAATCTCTCACACAATATGAGCCAAGAATAATTGTCCGTACAATATCAGCAATTGATAATACAAATAAGGGATTCACGTTCCCAACATCAACACAGTGTACCTGTAAAGGGAGAACAGCAAGAGGATGAATACCTTGTTTGATTACCCATCCAAGGTCATCCTGCCACACCGCCATGTCCCTAGCAGCAATGCTGAAACCAAAGCCTATATCCCCACCGTGATGTACAGCTACACGTAGAAACTGAACCAACTTTACTTTGGGCACAGTCATTGATATGTTCTTCCATGAGATATACACCTGAATCACCTGAAATAAACACGACATTACATTTGACCATAACACAACATAATAGGCCCTGATAAGCTCAATGATAAACCGCTGAAGGTTTTATGTCATCTGAGTTGAATGTTCGTGAACACAAAATAAAGAATTATGAATACATGCAGGTGAACATCGTGTTCTAAATATGAAGCAATCACAAAATAGTTAAACAATGGTACTTAAGATTTATCTTGTAGATATCATCCATGAACTAACTTAAACTAAATGTATAACTGAACTCAATGATTGAACATTTCCTTAAAAGACATTTTATACACTTGATATAAATATTAAGATGAAGTATACTTGATGAAACATTGAACGATGTTTGCCTACGATACATGCACATACAGACACTGCCGTGAACCACACGTGCACTTTCAATTCAACGCGCACAAACGTTTGATTGACAAAATGTTACCTATAATCTTTAAAACACACGCACTGTCAACCTGTCACAAAAGTGGATTTGTGGATAGGATTTGACAAGTTTGTCATGCCAAAAGGCGCGAGCGTCGTAGACATGGCCAGGCCAGGTATATTTCCAACATATTAGATTATATGGTATACATACACTTACATGTACAATTTCAAGGTTGTCAACCTTCAGCACAAGTGATAAAAACTATGCAGGTGTTTGGTAAAAATATAGACCTACTATTGCAAACGTTGGTTCATTTATATAACCTAAACATGCACACACCCATGCACATAAGTATACAAAATACTGCATAAACAGAAAATACAAATAATAGATACAATGTATGATAACAAAAGATGCCATGTTACCCCCGTCCAACTATTCACTAAATGTAACTATCACTGTTTAACTTAGGATCAGACTTACTTCATCAGCATCGTAGTTTCCGGTGTTAGTTACAATCAGCCGCCCCGACAAATCATCACCAGCATTGACCTCAGTGTCAAAACTGAAGTTCGAATATTTAAATGTCGTGTAGGAAAGCCCGTAGCCGAATGGGAAAAGTGGTTCTTGGGTGAAATACCAGTACGTCCTCTCAGTCATAGAAAAATTAGTCATTCCTGGTATCTGAAAACAAGATTACAGCAGCACTCAAATAATTCATGATATTACTCGGATACAGGAACAGAATTAAGGCACTCATTGGCATATTGTTTCATTTAAAGTCTGTTTAGCTGCATCTTCCCGAGGCAAGGGAGTTTACTGACTATAAAAGTCTAATTTCCACCCTTGCCGAAAAAGGCTGGAATAATGGAGTCATATTTTGGCTGGACTAACGAGTCTATGTCAAATCAAAATCGCGGAACGAAATCGTCATCCGGTTCGTTAAATGCTGTGCAGATTTTGGCCGATTGTAGGATTTGCAAAGCATGTGTACCGACAACTCGGCGTCTAGAGATATTTTTTAAAATCTTTTCATGTTTTTATTCAAGGTGCGCACATGATTTGATTCACTTCACAAGATCTTGATTATCGATCAGATCGTCCTGACTGAGCAACGCCATTTTGTTTAAAGCAAATGCAAGTGATATGAGAAGTCGAATCTGATTGGTCAATAGGAGGTACATAGAAGGGACAAAACTTGTTATGGTCCCTGGTGGCGCAACGATCGAGCCCAGGAATTCCAGTCTAGTTCGGTAGGGGTGGAAACTGGACTTTTACAGTCAGTTAACCCCCTTGCCTCGGGAAGATGGTTTACCTGATGCTAATGATCAAAACCAACTGTTCGTGAGAGAACATAAAGAATTAACGTGGTTCGTTTCAAAAGTTTATTCCTGCTACACCATCACTTGGATACATGAAATTGTGTTTGTGTTTGCTTCATGCGTCTCATAGCATGTCATACATATGTTTACCTTCTACCGAGTTTCTTCATGTTTCCAACTGTGTTTGACCGCAGGTGACAAACTAAGGGGAAGTAATTCTTGAAAGTTACGGAAAAACATAAATTGCTATTCAGTAGCAGCTTAAATTAAAACGAAAAATGATTCTACTTATTGTCAACACCAACGGAATATCCATGTGGAATATCATGCCAAGCTCCTCAGAAAGTCAAAATGACGTGGTAATGAACATTCTGACGAGGACTAAGATATCAACCATTTTCACTCTTTGATATAATTCTTAGTGTATGTGTACCTGTTCATCACTGGTTGGCCATGTATAACTCAGTCTTCCTGCGGGCGCAGAGAAGGAACCATTGTTAGTCAGAGAAGCGTACACAGCGTCTCCGGCAGTCTGACCGGGAAGATAACATTCCAAGATGGCGGACACACCCGGATTGTCGACGGCCCAGGATATCTCAACAGGACCGCCGTTAAACAATAACAGTACCACCGGCTTCTCCGCTGAAACATGAACCAGTATTTCTTATGTTCAATTCTTACAAGTACGTTGGGCACAAATGGTCCAGTTGTCAAACGCACCGAAATTCGTTTTCTTAGGCGTGTCAGGATGCTGTGATGATTGGTTCGAAACCCATATTCGACCTGATCACGATTCTTGGTTTGTTAGCACCATACCCGAGGCCGTTGGTTTTAACAAAGTGGTAAACATGCTATGACAAAACTGAAACACAAAACTCTCTCACTTCCTTGTACCTCATGGTCAATGCTTTATCTCATCATGTTTTATCGGCGTCTTCTGATGTACCTACTGTTTGCAACGACGTCCTTCAGCAGCTGCAGCTGGCTGCCCGGCAGCTGTATGGTGGTCCGGTCTTTACCCTCCGACTCAACAGAGGTACCTGATTACAAACATCAGAGCAGAGGGTGGTTAGAGCCCATATTTGTGTTTAATGATATAATCAACCTTCATGTAGATCAGATGGCACACATCATAGTAAAATATAAAAACCACGTAAAGTCAAAAATGCAAACAACACGGTTGATTCCGCTCATAGCACATGTATGCTGCTAAAGACGATTTGGTATTGTAATCTTATATTCAGACGTTTCGCGCCTTACCATGTCCGAGACAGACAAAGACAATGTCAGCTCCCTGTATGGCGGCTGTCACAGACTGGGGGTCATACCTCTGACACCAGGTGTCATTACATCCAGAGGCCAGGGACGCTGTGCTGGCTAGTCTTTTCAGTCCCATGTAAGGGGTGATTACAAAGCGTGAATCTGGGAACGCCGTGTAGTCCCCGAACAGATCCTGACTGTCGTTCGACATCGGCCCAACCACCTGCAACAACGGTTGACAGCTGGAACATTTCAACAGTTGATGTTCATCACCAGGCTTCGTCCGTGTCATTCATACCATACACACAGGTATGCAGAACACCTACCATCTGCACGTGGTAAGTTTTAAATGCTATATAAGATAATCCAATGCATTCCTGTACAAGTTTTTCGTATGTTTATTATTGATACCAACAGCTATTTTTTTGAAGTTCTTCTGGAGCGGTAGTGTGTTGTTTTCATTCTTCAACAGCACAAAAGTGTTGATAGCGGCCCAGAGTGCCAGTTCCCTGTGTTCAGAGCTGAGAACAATCTGGTCCTTGTCCAGCGTGGCATAAGGGTTCATACTGGGCGGGTCGAACTCTCCAATCCGGAAGCGGGTGTAGAAGAGAGGCTTGACGCTTTCCCTGACGAAGACTTCAGTTAGTTTGCCTTGTTCGATAGCAGGTACTAGAAGAAGCAGGTTTAACACTGTTTTAATACTTTAATAGCATTTGCGTGTGTTGGGAACTCTGTCCCATACCATCACAAGGATGATTTGTATTTGTACATAGAAATACATAGTCACACCACTAACCTGGTGTTTCTCTAAGTGAAGTTCACTGTGAAATGAATGACAGTCAATCAATGAATCAATGACAGTCAACCTTCGCGGAAGAACATCTAAGGGGCGGGCCATTTGATATTGAGGAGGATGGTAGGGGGCGGGGTTTTGGGGTAGAGTCATGTTGTTTTTTCTTCATTTTTAGGGTCTCAGGGTTTTTTCTTCTGAAAAGAGGGCTCAGGTATTTTTTACGGCACAAGAATGTCAAGATTTTCTCACTGTTCACTAAAACATAACAGTACAGATGTAGGTGATTTTGAAACAGAACAATGAAAATAGCAGCATAATAAAGCATTTTTTAAAAATAAAAAATCATTTCTTACAACACCATATGTAGCAAAACCAAGTCAACTTAACATATGTATACTCACGTCTACTGAAGGAATGTACTAACATCATCACAAAATAGAAACAGGTGACACTTAACCTATCAGACAGCTTTTTTATAGGCAAAACGCACCCATTAGGAAAGAATGTTCCAGACGGCCTTCATTACACCCGATGGTGTTTTTGAATGGAATTGCCTCCCCGTCGGCCTCGAAAATGCTGCAATTGCATTTCTGCAAACCATTTCGGAGACAAAAAAGAAATGAATTGGCGTTACCTACTAATATATGGAGATGACATCATTATACTTTCGAAAACGTTTTTGGAACATTTGATTCACCTCTAGGCAGTATTCCAAAAGATCAAAGAAGCAGGACTCACTCTAAAACCAAGCAAATGTAAATTGTCGACAAAACAAGGCACCTACTTCGGGCATATCTTCAGCAAGGATGGCATCAATGTCGATCCTTCAAAAATAGAGTCAAACAGATCCCACCCTTTAAAAATGTCCATGACATGCTCATTCCTTAGGTTGACCAAGGCTTTCTGGCATTGTATCCCCTAACAACCTTCTGAAGACGTAACTTGTAATGGGGTTGTTAATTCAGGTCTTTTGGCCATATAAGTTCCTTCCTGTTCTGGCTTTAGGAACAAACAATGTTGATAGGAACATTTCTTTTGGTTATCAGTTTAGGTTATTGGAATAAACTTTTTTTATTTATATATATGTTTATGTTGTATTTCTATTCCAAGTAAGAGTATATGATGCTTAATGGTCATTTCCCATCACAGCCAACAACTGTTATGGCCTCTTGAAATGGAAGATTTGAAATGAATATTAATAAAAAAGGGTTACAGGCACACTGTCTCTCATATTCATGTCTCTCTGACAAAGATTATGGCTTTGCCTCACTTGAGGCTGACTTATTTTTCTTAAATCTTTCTTTTTTATTAACCCAAAATTATAAGCTGTGTTGTTGGTATCTGTGAACCGATTCAAACTGATCATGACAATACCTGCTTCACTCTGTACATTACAGCAGCATCGAATACCTATTTATTGCTTGTTTCATTTTTAGCCACCATCAAACATGGTTGTTTACTTTCTTTTCATGGCAGTTTATAAGTGAACAATACACGAAGTAGACAGTGATATTTGCTTCTTTGTTACAATTTCTAATTGATTATTACCATTAAAAACAATTAGTAGTACATTTCTGCACCGCTACTTACTAATAGAGTTGTAAATCTTCCAGTCCCCAGACTGAAGTTCAAGGTTGCAGCCAGCATTCAGACAGGCCGCCGCTGTATCAACGCTGTTGTTGAGGTAGTGCCGGTCTGTAATGATGGAGGTCAGCTCGCCGGCGTCGGAGGCGATGTATCCTTTGAAGTTCCACTCTCCACGAAGTATGTCTGTGAGTAAGGCCCTGTCCGCACAAGCTGGTATGCCGTTGATGCTGTTGGGTTATATAACGCGTCGAAACTATGTATGCACCTGTGTACATGTTCTATAATAATAATAATTATGCACCTATACTTTCCCTAAAAGAAACGCACAGGTGATTTTTTTTAAACTAGAGAACTATCAAACTTGTTACCTGAATACACGTACACACAGAATAGCCTTCATACATTGAAATGTGATTTACAACATATAACATCAGGAAACTGAAGGCAGAAATATCAGAGATATTAGCGACAATTCCATTAACTTATAATCAAATCCAAGATATTTGCATAGTCGCCCTTAAACACGGAAAATCCATGAAATATGATGCCATCCAGCCTTCAATGGCGTGAAAAAAGCTTTGATGTGACGTCGTTAGGTCCAAAGATTTTCAATGCGGATGCCCTTCATGCAAGTGTGATTATCTCTTTGAAGATTTTGCTTCGAATTATGGCGGGTAGAATTGCCAAAAAATCTGTATTTATTCGCGACCTGTGTGCAACCGTGAGTCAAATTCTCCACTGAATGTATACGCACTTTTATGCAATTACAATTGCTTTTCAGTTAGTGGCTATGATACGTTACCTGTTGTAGGCACAGACAAAGGCGTATGTTCCCGACTCTACACACCGTCTGAATGGCGGGAGAAAGTAGGTCCTCATGTCGTACTCGGACACCTGGAGGAGGCAGTGGAGAAAGTGACGGATTTATCGTTGCAGAATTTCAGTTTGTCAGCGTGTCGGCTTCATGTGGAGTGAGTCATGTATTAAATTATCACTTAGGTGAATGATGTGGGTGTGTTGCTGACAAACCTAGAAACATAATCATGGTGATCTGGGACTAAAACCGACGATCAAAGTTTTCTGGCACGCCCAAGGGACACAGCTCTGCACAGCGATTTACGACGCCTTAGACGACTAACAACAAAATCAACTCACAACGCATTCATGATAACATGCAGCTAAATTTTCTATCAAAATACAAGATGATTAACATATTCAAAGCTAATGGGTGATAGTAGAGTATATCACCACATTAATATGTATAGTGATCAACATAACGCGATTTTTATTGAAGCACCGTGCATGTAGATTAAATCGTTTAAGATCCATAGTGTGTGAGCTTTTAGCGAACGATTTGACCACTAGTCTACACTCGTAGTACCAACTGTCTTAAAAAAGTGACCAAATACATATTCACTAAAAATAATTCTATGCATCTGCGCACATTCTGAGATGATGCCTCCATGACGGTGGGCTAGCCCAGTGGTTAAAGCGTTGGCTCATCACGGCGGAGATTCAGGTTCGATTCCCAGCATTGACACAATACGTGAAGTCAATCCTTGTGTTCCCCACCGTGAGATGGCTCAATGTTACTAAACGTGGTATAAAATTAGAGTAATTCTCTTTTCTGAAACAGTGTTTAGTCTACAGAAAGTAACACCTGTCAGATTTTCAAAACCTCTAGGTTCTTATCTTACCTACAGTATGCCAAACTAATTCCGTTAACCCATTTTCCATTTCAGTAAACCCATTGTTCACGTTTGTTAAAAATTATTCAAATTTTATAGGACGATATCGCATGTACCTTTGCATCAAAGTCCATCCTACTGATTGGCCAACTGTCCGGTCCAGCGGACAGGGCAAGATGGTTACAGGTGGAACTGACCCGGAGGTACCGTGGGTGGTAACCGTGGAGACCATGTATATGTTGGTCAGTGAGTTCGCCAATGTGAAAAGGGTCTTCTCCAAATGTTTCCTGTGTGTATTTTTTAATAGAGGAATTATGATATGGAGGATATGTTGGAAACAAAACACAAACTCATAATAGAACAATATACAATTCCGGCTTACTTGCTAAATTTTAATATTAATTGAAATGTTTCTTTATACATGCACAAAAATACAGGTGTTTATGGAGCCCCCACCGACAGTTTACTTGACATTTGTCATATAATACATCTGCAACCAATCGTCAACATTTCTTAGGAAAAGAGAAATATTTTTTAATTATTTGTGTCTACCTTCCCATCAATATCTCTTAAAGACATGAAACCGATAACACAGTCATCACTTCGTCCTTTCCTCATCAACAGATAATGAATATACTTTTGTGTGGCGGTCTGACATGTAAAGAGTGGCAATGTTCGTGAATATAAGATGTTCATTCGACTGACGAGTAGGCCCTCACCTGGCCTCTGCCCCAGCGGGGGTCTCGGAACATGTCAACGTTGGGGTCAAGACATGTCGCTCCCATATGGATATCAAGGGGATACTTGTGCTTCACGAAGTAGTTGTACCAAGCCCTCTGTTCAGCTCCAGCCGCTGCTGCTATCTCGTAGACCAACAGTTTGCTGTTGAAACAAGACATGAGACAGGCATCTCCAGGACGCCAAGCAGGCAGTATACCTACATTGTTGTGAGGTGTATGACTGAAGGTTATTTTGAGAATGGGCGGTAGAGTTACCTATTGGTTAAAGCTGAAGGTCCGGTTTCTATGCCCTACATGGGTGCAATGTACAACGTTCATTTCTTTGTCCTCCGCCCTAATATTGCTTTGCAGAGTTGCATCTCTTAGGAAATGCCACGATCCTATGGTCGTGGTTTCAATTCCAAGAATCGCCCTGACAATGACAATTGCTTTTTCACCCCCAATACCATGCTTGTGGGTTTAAGCAAAGTGGTAATTGTCCATGACCTACATCACTTCAGTCTTTCCTACTACTTTAAGGCACGCGGATCTATAACTGAAATGCATGACTACATAAATTGACAGGGCATCCCTTAATTTACGTCCTCCGCATAGCCATCCCTTCTAGTGTCTGTGCTACATCTACTGTAAGTCCCCTTTGCTCAATAGAGTTATTCATGTGTAGCCATACGTAAAGAAAACAGCAGATATTCTGAGACTTACTCAAAGGAAGCCCCAAGTCCGATGAACTGCGGAAAGGCCGTCGCGTTCTGATTGTTGGCCCCTCTACCACAGTCGCTCCAGAACACGTACTGTCCAATCCCAAGTCTTGGAATCGCAGGACTGGGGCCTTGGCCATTAGCGAGTTGGTCTTGTATTTCCTGGATGGTCAAGCGGCTGACCAGATCCTCAACACGTTCCTCCCAGGACAAGGACGTGTTCCTGAAGGGATATATCGCCAGGACAGTGCTCAACGCCGAGATGTACGCTAGCACCAGCATGCTTACAGACTTGCCAAATACCGAGGAATATCTCGCCCATAAAGTCTTATCAGAATATTCAGGTCACAGACTATCCTCAGTGCGTTTGACCTTTGGTTGAAATGTGTGTGACCGAATTTGTAAAAATTAACGCATGACAACATATATATGCCAGACGATGCGGGAACCCCGAAGGATAACCCGCAAGCTAAATTGGTCCACGAGGCGGTCGAGGCAGCGGTCCGGGCCCCACCCCGAAAGGCTTCGCCCAGCCCGCACCTTTTATATGACAACTGTTTTATTTCCACTGACGTGTCGGTGCAAATGCCAGCACCTTTGTACTTTGGCACGTTGGGGGGGGGGGGGGGGGGGGGGGGGGGGGGGTTTAACGGGGAGTTCGTATAACAGGTTAAAGCTTTATTACCTAATGTAATTATGTCAGGAATTCGTAATTCTTCACATAATGGACATTTAAAAGTAATGTTTTTCATCTTCAATGACACTCCACAATGAACAATCTTCCAATATCTCACAGATCTTTGCTCACATTTCATGATGTCCTTCAGTTTGACCTAATAATTTCCATCGATCTGAACTAAGAATGACTTGTTAATTGAACTATGAGCTATAATCCCAGTGATTTGTCCAGATCCTCGATGGTCAATTCCCGCTTGATCGCCAACAAGGGCGGTACCATGTTTGTTTGTAAACACTGAGAGTAGAGAGTTCCTGACCTTTCTTATTGGCATATTTATTCGGAAATGACCCAACGGATACCGTTTGTATCCTTTGGCTTTATCTTTTCGTAAAACCTCCTAATTATATGATAATTCAGTGATAAAATGAAACTAAGTGAAACTCAGCTCAATTTGTTCCTATTGTATTGTCAGTAACACAAGTGTCTGAAAACGTTAGTACCTCGACGCTTGCTGTCTGATGAGGATTGATCTTTACTTGCATGATTAGGTGGTTTCTTTTGCCGTGGGTTCCCTCGACCCCAGCAGTCAAGGCAGAACTGACAGACATGGTTCACGTAGTGTGTATTGGTTTCCGCACAACAAGAAGCCTGGCTGGCGCACCCAGCAATACCTGAAATACATAAGAATATAATAAAGAGGATAACATCGGTACAACTATAGTTTATTTTACAATTACAAAATATCCTAATGTGGCCTTTATATATACATACATGTTTTATTATGCTATTTCATTTGGTACAACTCACAATGCTTTCAACTCATTCCTTCTCGTATGTTCTTCAACGCCATGGCTTGTACAGGGACATGGCCCATTCTGAGCCGGGGATACTTCAATCTTCTAAGAGATACATTGTAAACAGAAATAGATACGTTACGGACAATACATGTTGTTCAAATATGCCTTCCTTCATACTCTATCACAAGTATGTTGTATACCATGACATAATTTCTTACGGTATTCCTATGTCATTGCAGCGATATAAGCTGCATTCTTCTGTGCACTTTACCTTGATTAATGTCTTTAGCCATATTATTATTCCTTAAAGTCTAAATATGCTGAAGCAAAGTCCTGTGAACAGTTAACCAATGCTTGAAATAGCATGTGATTCTAAACTATCTGTTCAAATCTGCAATACATATTCCCGTCAATTTGTAAGAAGGTTTGGGGTTGTCTCAGAGCGCTGAAATGTGAAGAAGTAGTTTTAGATAATAGGGCGATCTGGGTCACAAAAGGATGTAACCTACATCATATAACTGGTAAGATATGTACTCAAGAATAGAAACATGAATAAACACGAAAGAGAAAAAAAAGTAGCCATAAAATGCAAATGTGAAAAGAACGAAGACAACTCATTATTTATACAAGGACGAAAGTATGGGAGACGATCCATACAAAAAAAGTTTGGAGTTTATGGGTTTTTTAATCAAGTAAACGCAACAGCAATATGTTGAATTTGTTACGCAAGAGACACTCATCATATTTCAACCAAGAATCTGATATATTAAGGAGGAGGACTGTTTCCACCAAGAATCTCATCTATTAAGGAGGAGGACTGTTTCCACCAAGAATCTCATCTATTAAGGAGGAGGACTGTTTCAACCAAGAATCTCATCTATTAAGGAGGAGGACTGTTTCCACCAAGAATCTCATCTATTAAGGAGGAGGACTGTTTCCACCAAGCGTCTCATCTATTAAGGAGGAGGACTGTTTCCACCAAGAATCTCATCTATTAAGGAGGACTGTTTCCACCAAGAATCTCTTCTATTAAGGAGGAGGACTGTTTCCACCAAGAATCTCATCTATTAAGGAGGAGGACTGTTTCCACCAAGAATCTCTGCGAGTGAAGCGGCTGACTGTGTTCATGGTATTGCACCATTAAGGTTTCAACCTGCACTTTCCCCAGCAGGACATTCAATGAGCTAATACTAAACAGTGTAGGTAACGTCCTTTTCACAATGTGCTCTCTTGACAAATGAATTCTCATCCATACTTTATATGTAAGCATTAAGCCCACACGCGGTGGACATTCTGCATAATAATTGGTCCCCAGCAACCTATGATGATTGTAGGAGGCGACCAAATAAATTAGGTCAGGCTCTGTGACTTGGTTTATAGCGTGTCATCGTACCCTGATGGCCTGGATCGTTGCTCACAATATCAATCACTGGATTGCCTGATCCAGGCTCGATTATTTACAGGCCGCCGTCATATGGATGGAATATTGCTGCGGGTGGCGTTAAACAATAAACAAACATTGAGCCCACAGTGTCCTCGGGTGAGAATAATTTCATCACTCATTTACTTTCTGGGAGGTTTCAAATAATGTGAGATATTGGGAGAACTGTGTTGGATTCGGAGTCCAAAGGAAGCTTTCCCATTGGACCAGTTATGCATCCTGTACTCCACGCAACCGTTAAAACATCTGTAGCAGGGTGATATAGTATCGTGGGCCGCAACCACAAAAACATCTGCAGTTTAGGTTAGTATCTCAACGATAATTGCCCTCAGTGACGTTGTAGTGGCTTTTCAGAACATTCAACTTGTAAAAATACTCCCAAGCACAGATAAAAGCTTGGGCATGCATGCGATCGAAATTACTTTTAATGTCAATGTGGGTCTTTGAATATCTGATAACTATAGTCACGTCTAGATAACACCAAAACAATTAAATAGTTGTTAAGCACTTAAGTAGGTTCAAGATCTGATTGCACGTATCTTTGGTAGGAGACATGCGGGATGCCCACGTTAGCCTTGAGCTAGATACGTGACAAAAACGTCAAGAAGTAAAACAGCAATGGAATGTAAGGGTGTACACGCAGAGTGACTGAAAACACGTTTGACTGTGCCAAAAAGGTTTATCAGCAAAATTAAGTAAGTGAGGTTTTTCCCTCTTTATCACGAACCAGGCGTTTGGCATTTTGTTTTGTGTAACCGATAATCTTCAAAGCAAGGAGAGAATGTTCGTCTTATGGCGTATTTGTTCTTCAATTTCCCTCATTGTTATGATATGAAACTGGGCACATGATAGGTGCAAGTAAACGTACAACCACGCCATTCTAACGTACATGCACCACGTACTGCCCCAAGGCACCTGCTTCGAATGTTTCTTCTGTTTAACCATAATTTCTTCGATCGCTTTTCTGCACATGTGCTGCATGTATTTTTATTATCATGTCATTATAATTACAAACCAAACTATTCAGAAAGACAGTGTAAGCAATCACGTGACGCTTGCAAGGTGACGAATGTTCAAATGCAGTTGGGATGTTGCAGGTTGCACTTGGCACAGTGTTGTGGCACAAACGCAGAATGTGGGCTAGACAGACGTATAACGTTGATTGCCGATGTCGTTCAGGACTTCCGAGAGTGACCACGTCAGCCTACGATCGTTTCATCAGAACTATGACTTTGAGGAATCGTTCTCAAACTGCGAATAAGATACGAAATCGTCTACACAGAGCATCTGGGGGTGTGGGTGAGAGATCAGAAATCGTCTCCACAGATGGAATGTGCAGGCACAACGTCCACGTATTGTTCCAGGACTAGCCGTCACTGCACAGTATAACAACACTGGGACACTCGTCGCTAGGCTAAGGTTAATGCACTGACGAAATCGGGTGTGGAAACGTTGAAATGAACGTGTGGTGTAGGTCAACGTTCAACGGCATGATCATATGGGGGGGGGGGGGGGGGGGGGTTGGTTAGTAATGGTGCACCCCATCACTGTGACTGGCCGAACGCAAGTACATGCTGTCCACTATATAAGGGTCACTGGTCAGTACTACAGTGAAATATCCTTGTTCCACTTGTGGTGCCAATTACATTACGTCATGGTCGACGTTTTGTATTCCAAGACCACAATGCTCATGCGCAAAGGGCTCAGATTGAGACCCATTACCTTCAGCAGTGATCAGCTCCAATCATCAGGAGTGTCATTAAAAAAGAATAAGTTATAAAGTAGTAATAAGTTCCCATAAGTTAACAGCTAATTGTACTAGTAGATAACAATAAAAGAATAAAATAAACCCAATCTGCCATCACAAAGATCACTGATTAATTAAATCAGAGAAAATACACAAGCGGCTTAGCTAAGCAAACTGTATTACAGCAATAAAATGAGTGTAGCTAAAACAACACTTTGACAAGATACCGACCAGATGCGCATAAAGCAAATTAAGTCGGCTGCGACCAACTAACACCCTATACCTACTCAGTACTTTAATCTATTTAGTACTGATCCATTACACCTGTAGGTATATTCCCTCTTTGCCGAAATAAAAATGTCTAACAAAATTCGTACATCTAAATAATGGGACGTCTAACTAAAGGGATATAGCCCTGAGTCAACTAACTCAGATCGCCTCCGTAGTCAAGTGGTAGAGCGTCCGCCCGGAGAGCGGAAAGTCCGGGGTTCGATCTCCGGCCGCGTGATACTAAAATACGTTCAAAGATCATACTTGTTGTTACCCTGTCTGGCGCTCGGCATTAAGGGGCTAAAACAAGGACTGGTCGGCTCAGAGTCAGTATACTGTGTCTGAGTGGGGTATTCATATTAAACTGCGGCATGGTATCTCAGTGAGCTGGCACTATAAATCGGCATCA